GGGCTGGGGATTCGAACCCGCCACCTTAGGTGTATGTGGCTGGCGCCTTAGCTGCTTGAGCCACAGGCGCTGAGCCACCATGCCCAGTTTAAAATAATTTTTTAATATCTTATAACTGCACAAACCAGAGCCTTTCAGTAAATATGCTTCTGTTATTCTTTCTCTACCCTCAAGCTACAGTGCCATGGCATTGTCATCACAACTCACAGTAGCCTCAAACTCCTGGGCTCAACAGTTCTTCCTATCTCAGCCTCCCAAGCACTGAGACTACCGATAATTTTTTAAATTTCATAGAGACATGGTCTTGTTCTTGCTCAGGTTGGTCTTGAACACCTGAGCTCAAGCAATTTGCTTCAGCCTCCCAAAGTGACAGGATTACAGGCCTGAGTCCCTATGTCCAGCCTCTGCCACCCTTTTTATTTTTAAAATTGAGATCCCGTGGTGTATGTATATATGTATATACAGACATATGTACATGTCTCTATATATGCATCTAAATTATACTGTCCTATTGATTTTACTATAATTAAATACCTGAGCCTGGATAATTTATAAAGGAAAGAGGCTTATTTGGCTCATGGTTCTGAGGCTGTACAAGAAGTGTGGCACCAGTATCTGCTTCAGTTGAAACCTCAGACTGCTTCCACTCCTGGAGAAAGGTGAAGGGAAGCTGGTGTGTGCTGAGATTACATGGCAAGAGAGAAAGCAAGAGAGACAGGGGAGGAAAGGTGCCTGGCTCTTTTTAATAACCAGCTCTCTTGTGAACTGAAAGATCTAGAACGCACTCATTGCCCAAAGGACAGCGCCAAGCCATTCATAGGAGATACAGCTTCATGACCCAGATACTTCCCATTAGGTCCCGCCTCTAACATTGGAGATCAGATTTCAACATGAGGTCTGGAGGAACAAATATCAAAACGATATGTCTATATATACATGTAATAAATATGTTTTACATAGCTACATTATAAATAGTGGCTGCAAATATTTCTTTATACATTAAAGACAAGATATAGAATATTTCCATTACCCCTCAGATTTCCCTGGCATCCTTTCTCAGTCAATTCCCTCAATTCTCAGCTATAGGCAACAACAGCTCATCTTTCTGGTACCATAGATTAGACTTTATTTTCTAGTATTTCATATAAATGGAAACATGTAACATGTATTCCTTTTTTGTCTGCTTCTGTCTCTCAGCAAGTTTTTGAAGTTCATCCATGTTGTTTCAGGTCCAAGGGTGTCGTTCTTCTGGATTACTCAGTAGTGTTCCATTGTATACCTACACCCTAGTTTATCCATTCACCTGTTGGTGGACATCTGAGTTGTTTCCCATTTGGGGAAATTATGAATAAAGCTATTATTATGGATAAGTCTTTGTGTGGACATGTCTTCATTTCTCATGAGCAAATATCTAGCAGTGGAGTTGCTGGACCATAAAATCTGTGTACAGAGGGTTTAAGAACAAAAAACTGTATTAAAATTTAGTAATCTATACTGAA